CAGCATCCGCATCTCATTCGAAGACTTGTCACGACATCGACTAACATTCTCGGGAGCAACAAATCGAAGCGTTTAGATGACTCTTGTTCAAATATCGAAACATGGCATGCGCAACAGTCTAGTGACGTCCTTGGGCGGCTTGCACGACTGGACACGAATGAACCCGTCGTCGGTGCGTGCGCCAGCGCATTCTTGAAACGGACTTGCTTTTGGTACAGTACTCTACACATCCTAGCAAGGTGCTTACGCAGCGTCGTCCTGCGGCGGACCCCCGTCGACCTGTGTGGCGTTCTCGTCTGATTCATGCTGATCGGGATCATTAGGGTCATCGATGAGTTCGAAGGCTGCTTCTGGTGGAGCGTGAGCTTCCGCTTCGGGCTGAGCAGCAGCAGCAGAATCATCATTCATAGCGTTCAAGCGCTCCTGACGATGTCCTTCATTAATCGCCGCATGCTCTGCCAAGACGCGCTGCTCAGTCTCCTTGTAGATGATTTCCTGCTTGGCATGCCTGCCCAAATCGTCCGGTCGACATTTGGCAGCCATGCCAAAGTCCTAGCGGCAAGAATTTGAGCCCGCGCGGGTCACGTCAGATATGGGCCAGCTTCAATGATGCCCGAGGAACGCCTAGCGCGCGCTCTACTCACCGAGTACACCAAGGCATCCGCAGGGCGACAGACGTAGATTCCGCTGGCATCCATTTGCAAGCACGAAACTAGCAGCTCGTCATTTTCTTCTGGCTGACGAGCTTGCCAATGCCAGACCTTGACGTTTTCGAAAGTGCCAGCAGTCTGCGATGGGTTCAGCCTGTCCGTAGCGAGATCTGTGATGAAAGTGTCTTCAGAGTTTCTCTGTTCGCGACGCGCGTTGGGTGCATGACTGTCAGCTTTGGCGTCAAGACACTGGACGTCGAACGTGTCAATAGTCGACGCAAGGTCAAACTCACATAAAGCCCTTCATAATTTCCGTAGCACACCCTTCCGTCAGAGACTGCCATGTACATATGATATCTTTCGTTTGGCGGCTCGTCAAAATCGTCGATGAAGCGAGGCAGAAAGTCTTGAAGACCGATGCGCGCCACCTCGATCACGCCCTCGCTGTGCTCCTGCGCCAAGGCAGAGTATGGCCTCAAGAGGATCAGACCCCAGTCGCAGCCGACCACAAGAGTGTCAGTTTTGGTATCTGGGTGAATGGACCTGGAGAAGAGCGCGAATTGGCAAAGGAGAATCTGGACGTGGCGGGACCCTGGCATAAGTCGCTGACCCGATCACCGCTCGGTCCTGTATTCCCGTCTCTTGCCCAGGACTCACCGTCGCCGGAGAGTTCTCTTCAATGGGCTGCGAAGAGCCTGCTTTGCAACAATCTTCTTCCACGCTCCACTCGAGGGGGGTCCGTACGTGTTGCAAGTCACTCAAGGCATGTTGAATTTCGGCCTCTGCGAGGTGATATTTGCCAAACTTTTCGGCAGGTTGCGCCCAGTGTTCGAATTCGTAATGAGAACCATCGTCGCTTCTGCTGATCAATTTGAAGCCCATCCAGAGCAGCGTTTCGCCTTTGAGGTTGTACACTGCAAAGCCGATTGCATGACACACGAAAATCATGCCCTTTCCGTCCAACTCGACGTATTCGCACGCTCCCCTCTCTGGATCCAGAGGAAAAGAGAAGGATACAGCGAGCCTGGTGACGTCCCAGCCCACAATGAACCATT